ATTTATGGCTTCGTTATTTTTCCCTCTCTGCTTTTAAATGACAAAGATGGAGATTTTTGTCTTTCATCTTCACTGATGCATCCTAGTGCCTAGAATAGTGGCTGGCATATTATAGGTGCTCAAAAATCACCAAAGTGGATGTATAGATGGCAAATAAGCATATGAAAAGATACTCAACATTATATGTCATCAGGGAATTCCAAATTAGGCAACAATGAGATACCACTATACATCTATTAGAATGGCTCAAGTCCAAAACTTTGACACTGCTAAATACTGATGAGGATGTGGAACAACAGGGGCTCTCATTTATTGCTGATGGCAGTGTGAAATGGTACAGCCATGCTGCATGGAGAGTCTAGAAGTTTCTTTTCTTTTTTAAAGGATTTTATTCATTTGAGAGAGCAAGTGCGCAAGTGGGGATGAATGGGAGGAGGGAGAGGAGAAGCAGACTCTGCTGAGCAGGGAGTCTGGTGCAGTGCCTGATCCCAGGATGCCTAGACCATGGCCTGAGCTGAAGGCAGATGCTCAACTGACTGAGCCACCCAGGCACCCCTGGAAGTTTCTTATAAGGGTAAATTAAAAATTGTCTTACCATGGTCCCATTATCATGCTCCTTGGTATATACCCAAACGGGTTGAAAACCTATATCCACACAAAAACCTGCACACAAATGTTTATAAGCACACAAATTACTAAAACTTGGAAGCAACCAAGATGTCTTAAAGTAAGTAAATGAACTGTGGTGCATCCAGAATACCGTTCAGCAATAAAAAGAATTGTCAATGGAGGAATCATAAATGCATATTGCTAAATGAAAAAGGCCGATCTGAAAAGACTATATACCATATAATTTTAACTATATGCCATTTGGAAGAGGGAGGGTTGACTAGGTGGAGCTTGGGATTTTTAGGGCAGTAAAACTGTCCTGCATGATTCTGTAATGGTGGATGCATGTCATTATACATTTGTCACAAGTTATAGAATGTACAACACAGAGAGAACCCTAATGTAAACTGCGGACTTTAGTTAAGAATACTGTATAAATGGGGCTCCTGTGTGGCTCAGTCAGTTAAGTGTCTGTTTTTGGTTTAGGTCATGATCCCAGGGTCCTGGGATGAAGCCTCATGTTGGGCTCCCTCCTCAGCAGGAGTCTGCCTCTCCCTCTCCTTCCCCCCGTGCCCACTCATGTTCTCTCTCTCATAAATAAATACATAAAAAAATAAATTAAAAAAAATAAATAAAATCTTTAAAAAAATATTATCATATAAACATTGGTTGTTCATCAGTTGTAACAATGGTACCACACTAATGTAAGATGTGAATAGTAGGAGAAACTGTGTATGGCAGGGAGAAGAGGTATATGGGATTTTCTCTACTTTCCACTCAGTTTTTCTATAAACAAAAAACTCTTAAAAGAAACCATTAATTGAAAAAGCAGTATTTGATTTAAAAAAAGTGATGCATGTTCACACACATGCCTATACATATACATTCTACCTGCTGCATAAAGCTACTCTCATTTATTAAAAAGTAGAGCACACCTAATATTTTTCTAGACTCTGGTTTTAAAGTTACACATATCTGATATATAAATAACACATTTTGTTTGATATTTGAGGATTTTATTCCCCTACTGAAGCCATTTATTGAGTGTGTGCTATTTGGCAGATACTTTTAGGTATTTTTCATTTAGTTTGAAGTAGCTTCTATTTACCCCATTGCACAGGTAAAAAAGCTCTGACTGAGAGCTTTGTGAAGTGGCAAGGCTAATTCTTGAATCTAGGCCTGTTTGGCTCTAAAGCCTGTGTACTGTACAGCCTTTGTAATTCACATAGACATATTTTTTGAAATTGCTAAAGTTTATCCCTTAATGTAAGTGTAAGTGCCTTGAGAGCAAAAATATCATTGAAAAAGGTTGTCTAGGTTTGAATCTTGGCTTTACTGTACTGTACTTTTGCCTTGTGTTTTTAATTAGGTTATATTACCTTTTTATGCTCTAGTTTCCTTATGTGTGAATGGAGATAGTAGTTGAAATTGTTGTGAGGATTAAATAAGTCAATGTATGAAAAGCTCTTAGAATAGTGCCTGCTATAGAATATGAGTTACATAAATGTTACCTATTAATTAGTAGTGGAATATTTCCTCATTTCATAGATAAAAGAAACTGAAACCCAAAGAAACTGATTTTCTGAGTCATAACTTTCTAAAGTCACATAGCTATTAATGGCAAAGTTGAAATTTTTTTTATTTCAAGGCCAGAATTTTGTCCACTGTTAACAGTTTTTTTTAAAGAGAAACTCTTTAAAAATGTGTTGTAGTTTCTCCCTATTACCTTATAGTCTACCAAATATAATTTAAATTTTTCTTTTTTCCTCAGTCAGGTTGATACAGAAAGGAAAAAGCATTGGGCTGTGATTTAGGTTCTGGATCAGGAGGCCTGTGTCCCTGATTAGTTGTATGACTTTAATATCTCTTTATTTTTTTTTTTCTTTTTTTTTTAATATTTTTTATTTATTTATTTTTATTTATTTATGACAATCACACAGATAGAGAGAGAGAGGCAGAGACACAGGCAGAGGGAGAAGCAGGCTCCATGCACCGGGAGCCTGACGTGGGATTCGATCCCGGGTCTCCAGGATCGCGCCCTGGGCCAAAGGCAGGCGCTAAACCGCTGCGCCACCCAGGGATCCCTAATATCTCTTTAGTAGTTCATTTGTAGCAGGTAGGTAAACTGGGTGGAGTTGGGCCAGACGATTTCTGAGTTGCTTTTATAGCACCAACAATATAATTTTGAGATATATACTGCTTTTGTCGCGGATTATTGCACTATACTGTAATACCCTAAAAAGTTCCCAGAGCTGTTTGATGAATGTGTAAGGTGGTTACTCTCTGTGCTAAATGATTGAAGAATGCTGTATCTTGCTTGTTATTGGTGATCCATAATTTCTCCACTACATTAGCTTTTTCTTAGCATTCTTCCCTGCTTTCAGTCTACTTTCTTAATATGGTAGAATTTTTGACTTTATCTTTTTACAGAATAAAGGATTTGAACTTTGCTGTCAGTTCTCAGTTGAACACATAGCAATCTTTTTTGGCTGCTGGATTCATAGCTTAAATGCTGAATGGTTGAATCTGCTAGATTGGTGAAGTAGGGTTGGGAATGGGAAATGCCGAAGACTTCTTTATGTAGTCTTTACACAGGATCTCTGAGATGTATCTTGCCATCAGATCTTGTTTTAGATTGTTTCTTAACTTTGTTGTATGAAAAGACCCTTTGAATTGGCAGCATGTGTATGTTCCCTCCCTACCTTTGTGTGATAGGTATGATAAATTAAGTCCAGTTGATTAGTTCAGTTACATGACTTTTTTTTTTTATTTATGATAGGCACACAGTGAGAGAGAGAGAGGCAGAGACACAGGCAGAGGGAGAAGCAGGCTCCATGCACCGGGAGCCCGACGTGGGATTCGATCCAGGGTCTCCAGGATCGCGCCCTGGGCCAAAGGCAGGCGCCAAACCGCTGCGCCACCCAGGGATCCCTACATGACTTTTTTTAAGTGAAGTTTCAGTAGCTTATTTCAGGTGGATTTTGTAGAGTCAGGGAAGTTGGTTACAGGATAGATATGAATAGTTTTGCGTGTGGGTCACAGTATCATTTGTGTGTTTGTTTTTTCATGTGTAGTAATTGGGAAGTGTTAAATGTAACTTTACTGGTTTCAAAACCTCAAAACTGATAAATTTTTTTTTTGTTTTAGATTTGTTTATTAGAGAGAGAGAGAGAGAAGAAAAAGAGAGAGAGAGAGAGAGAGAGAGCGAGCACGTGAGCAGGTGAGCCAGGAGGGAGGAGGGACAGAGGTAGAGGGAGAGAGAGTTTTATGTAGACTCTGTGCTGAGCATAGAGCGTGATATGGGGCTTGCTCTCAGGACCCTGAGATCACGACCTTGATGGAAACCAAGAGTCAGATGCTTAACCAGCTATGCCACCAAGCACCCCAAGGATTTTTTTCTTTAAGAGAGCAGCTGATAGTATTAGGAAACTGTTACAGACAAAAGCGGGGGGGGGGGGGTTTCCTTGTTTAAATGAAATTTAAAGGAAAGATAATTGAGATGAAGAGGAAGCTATTTTTGGTGAGTTTATATATTCTGTGGTGATATCCATGTAGCTAAGCATGTTTGATGGTTGCTCTCTAGTTTTTTGTTTTGTTTTTTTTGTTTTTCTTTAACATCTTGGCTTATAATCTTGTAAGGATTTCATCAGTGCTTAGAAGAGTTTACTTTTACTCTATATGGAATAAAATCTCATAAAGATGGAGCAAAGGGGTAATAGAATAGTGATTCGGCCTCTTGGCAGAAATACACAGTGGGATTTTGTGAGAGTCATCCACGGGTAATGCAGTCAGGTTCTAGTGAATATTCAGGAGTTTGTCAGAACAGCACATATAGGTTGAAGTCAGGAGGCAGAGTCTAATCAAGAGTTAGGGGAACAGAGCAGAAAAGCATTCTGAATTTTAGGCCTAAAAATGATTAAAGAAGGAACATTGTGCCAGTGTGTACCGGTGGTATCAAATGGAAAAGCTTCATGGTTTCAAACAATGATGGTGGTGTATTTTCTGGTATATTAACTACTTTTTGGATAGGTCTGGCTAATGCTAGTTTCTAATTGAAAAGCTACATCGTTAATTGCAGTGTGTTGCCATCAGTAGTAGTATTACTTTTTCAGGTAGTACTACTTTACTGAATCTGTGTCTCTTTATCTCATTGAGTACAAGTCAGCCAGCTGCCACATTGTGGCTTACCCAGGAGGCTTACTTATTTGGCCATTTACTTAGTCCTTTGGCCCCAGGCCCTCAAAAGATATGCTAGCTTTTTGTTTGAAATGAGGTCACTTTATAACGATTATTTCCTTTTGGTCAATAACATGTATGGGCTCCAAATTTCAGATATAAAACTAACTGTAAATAAGCATTTCTGAAAAGTTGTTTTTCTTTTTCTTTTGCAGGTGTATTCCAGAGAATAAGTCTTCAAACATCTTTGCCATATTGACTCTGAGTTGTCAGAGGACTCAGGCTTATGAGGAGGTACTGTCACACAAAACAGTGTCTAGTGAAGACGACAAGAAAGTGGGGAAGGGATTGGAAAAAGAAGCTAAAACACTATAGAAAACCATGGTAGGTATTATCTATATTTCCATAATTTCATTGTAAAATTGCAGTAGTTAAAATTGGAAATGTTAATAGTGAGGGCAAGTGAAAAACAATGGTGTTAATTTTTGGCTCTAGTGCATCAGATAAAGATGGCACTCTACTATTTAAGCAAAGCCAAGGAGTTCAGATTTATTATGAGCCCTTTAAACCACAAGAGGGAGCCCCATGAGCCTTGAGGCCATATATTATTAAATACAAAGGAGGAAAGGCTCATAAGTAAATTTTCTGGTAATACTGACATTAGCAAACTGATAATAAGGATGGCTTAGGTGACCTTGAAATTATGTAATTTTTCTCTAGTCTTCTACCTGAAGTTCAATTTTTTCCAATGGAAATGAGAAATCTTGAACCAATCCTTTAATGAGTGATATGAATGGTGTAAGAATTTATGAAATATTTGAGTATTAAACTCAAAAAGTTACCTTTTTTCCATGTTTTCAAAATAATAGGGTCAAATGTTGAGTGTATTGGGAGCACTGAACCTAACCTCAGGGAAATCTTGCTTTTTTTTTTGTGGAAAGTTCATACTCAAATTGGATGAGATATTAGATGAGATCATAATCTATGGTGCCTAGTGTTTGCGTTGGTAAAAATATGTTGATTTTTTTTTCTTCTAGTATTTTGGCTCTGGAGGATGTTGTGTGAATTTTTTCCCTAAGTATAAGTGAGAAAAGGCTTAAAAAAAGATGTTATAAGTGGGAGAAAAAGCACAAAAATATTAATCATCAGTATGTTTGAAATATGTTGTTTAGTAAGTCTGATGATATTTCTTTAAGTGTTAGTTGATTTTTTAAAAAAAATTTGTTCTATGGATTATAACTTAGTTGACTTGCTCTTTAGAGAAGAAATTCTCCAAATATTTTAGTTCTGGATGGTGGGAAAAAATGTTAATTAACTTGGGATTTTCTCTGTCATTTAGTTTTAGGTGAGGTGTAAGAAAGTATACCGTGTCTTGTGTTTTCCTTAAATATGAATTAGGTGCCTCTTCAGCTTATATTTATTATAAATAGTCTTGATTTTCTTAAAATTTAAATGCTTTTTAATCTGTCATAGTCGATAAAAATTCCTTTCCTAGTTTATTTATTTTAAATTTAGTTTAGACTTTCTGGTGTTTACATAATTTTGTGTTTACATAATTCAGTTGGTGGGTGTTTTCCAATTTCCACTATTGCTTTATGGCTTAGATCTTATATTTGAATGATAACTATCTGTTTCTACATAGTTCTTTCCTATTTAGTTTTTTATATCTTGAAACAAATCCATTTTGACTCCCCAAGTTTTTCTTCTTTTTTTGATAATACTGCTTATTCTTCCTTTCACCATTGTTTCATGATGCTTGTCGTGTCACAAACAGTAGGGTCTTGGATTTAACATTTTTGGATTTAACATTGGCAATCCATATTTGTGAGAGAAACACCAAAGGTTTGTGGTATATAGCAGTATATAATTTTGTTAAGATGAAGCCAGTGTGCAGGACCGAGTAATTTAGCTAAGTAACTTAGTAATTCACCATAAAACTAAATGACAGAGAATATCCAAAATTAGCATGTTTCCTTCACCATCTAGAACTAAAAAATTAGTTAATTTCTTCTTCTGCAAGTCAAAAAATTTTTTAAAAAAGATTTATTTATTTATTCATGAGAAACGCAGAGAGAGTCAGAGACACAGGCAGAGGGAGAAGCAGGCTCTCCATAGAGTCTGATGTGGGACTTGATCCCGGTATCCGGGATCATGCCCTGAGCCAAAGGCAGACGCTCAACCACTGAGCCCACCCAGGCGTCCCAAGTCAAATAATTTGATAATTAATCTCTAGAACAGCCTGGCATCTCCAATTTGTTTTCTCAAATTTTGTTTTCTTGTTGCTTATTTTGAGATATGTGAGTAAATCTCAAGAAGTGATTTAAAGAGTTTGTTTCTTTGTGGCAAAAGACTCCAGTTAGAAAACTGGTTGTGGACTGTGAGCAAGGAAGAAATCTAGAAAGAAATGGCTTTTATCTAGAAAAAAGGAAAGCTTTGTGATTGACTTTTTAGTCCTTTTATTCCATAATAATTGATGGTTTCAAAAAACCACTTACCTTTTTAGTTATGGTTTGTTTCATTTTATAGGGGACAGTAGTACAGTACCAAATTAGTATGATTTTTAAACACCAATATTCAAACAAAAACAACAAAAGAGACAGGACTGATAAGCAATTGAGACTATTTTAAGTCACAGAGAGATAGAGAGAGGCAGAGACACAGGCAGAGGGAGAAGCAGGCTCCATGCACTGGGAGCCTGATGTGGGACTTGATCCCGGGTCTCCAGGATCGTGCCCTGGGCCAAAGGCAGGCGCCAAACCGCTGCGCCACCCAGGGATCCCTATAGCCAGCTTTTAAAGGGAATACTTTGGGCCTCATGGAAACTCACCAAGTTATCCCTGTTCATTTTGCAGTGTACTGGTATAAGTGTCTTCATGGTATTTGTAAATTTGGAAATATTCAAAAGTTTTTGGAAGTGTGACTCATGAGAGTGAAGGGTCTACTCTATTAAATTTTCATGAAATTCATTCTATTTCTAGACTTTAATCTGCTCCACTGATTTCTGGGCCAGCGTGTCATTTTAATTATTGCTTTTTAAATTTTTGATATTTTGTTTTGGTTTAATGGTACCATTCATCCATCTTTGTAGAATATTTCTTGGTACTTTCATTGATTTGTTTTTTTTCCTCCAAATGAGGTTTAAAATGATTTTTGTTGAGTATTAAGTAAAACTATCTTGAGGGGATTTTGATTGACAATGTAATACATTTGTAAATTACTTTGGGAAGTTTATTCTTTTGTAGTATGTATTTTCCCCATTTTGGAGTTTGAAATGCCTCCTGCTAATCTATTTTAAAAATTAAGGCCTTGCATTAAAGTTTTGAATACCAAATAGTAAATAGAATTCTAATATGATCCATAGTTTTTTTTTTTTAAGATTTTATTTATTTATTCATGAGAGATATAGAGAGCGGTAGAGACATAGTGGAGGGAGAAGCAGGCTCCCTTCAAGGAGCTGATGTGGGACTCAATCCTAGGACCCCCGGATCACGCCCTGAGCCGAAGGCAGATGCTCAACTGCTGAACCACTCAGGCGTCTTGATCCACAGTTTAGAATTTCTATAGTGTTAACACATACCTTTGTATTTTACATTATTACTGTATTATGACATCTCAGTTTTTCAAGGTGCAAGTCTTCAGCAGTTTGGAAAGGAGTGATTGGGTATCATGAGTCACCATCATGCATTCCTAGAGACTTTGTTAAAGCTAGGTATGTTTTTCTCACAGACGATATGTAATACAGATGATCATCTTTGAAGTCTCTAACTCGATTCAGCTAAAAGGTAGCATGAACATGATGCTGAGGGTGACTTGGATGAATCTTACCAAAACATGAATGAAAGATCTCTAATTTTCTGGTTTGGAGTTCAGTAGAATGAGGTTTTACTTTCATTCCTATACAATTTTTTACATTTTTTAAATTTTCTCAACATTAACCGTTTCATGATGGCTTGACAATTAATGCTATGAATTGACTTAAATATATTTATATATCATACTTTTCAGGTAGCATTACTTTTATTGTTTTCTTTCTTCTGACAGAGATCTATTAGATCTTTTGCCAATGATGATCGCCACGTTATGGTGAAACATTCAACAATCTATCCATCTCCAGAGGAACTTGAAGCTGTTCAGAATATGGTGTCTACTGTTGAATGTGCCCTTAAACATGTCTCAGATTGGCTGGATGAAACAAATAAAGGCACAAAAACAGAGGGTGAGATAGAAGTGAAGAAGGATGAGGCTGTAGATGCCTATTCCAAGTGAGTGTGGCCTGACCTTTGTGATGCTTTACTGCAGTGCTCAGAAAAAGCTCAGAGTCCTATCCCACTAGGTTTTATTTGGTATATGATATTCTTTAGGTTTTCTCATTTATATGAGTATAAACAAGGAAGTAAATGTTTGTGGAATTTTTCCAAGTTACATTTGAAAGGAAAGCAAGAAAGAAGTAATGATTAGACCAGGAAAAGAAGATGGATTTGTTCAGGATGCCTTTTAAGAATGCACCAAGCCCTTTAGAATTGTAATTTTTTGAAGATTATGAAATGTCACCTTTTTCATGTGTTGGTTCACCTCCTAAATTCAGAAATAAATAGTAGGTCTCTGGGGAAATAATAAAATGTTATTTTTTTTAAAGGCATTTAAAAAATCCTGGTGGAGAAGAAAGAATATAGGAAAATGTGTTCTAAATGTATTTTGACCACATCCACCTTGTTGATTCCCAGGATTCAGCACAGTGTCTGGCATTTAGTAAATGCTCTTTGGATATTTGTGGAATGAATGAAAGATTAACAGGAGTCAGACCCTTCAGCAATTATAGCAGAGTATTCTCAGTGATGTAACAATAATAAGAGATGAGTGAGATGAAGCTACATGAAAACTGGAGTCAGATCATGAAACTGTATGTCATACTAAGCTTACTGTTTTGAGCAATGTTACTAAAATTGGGATAAGTCTGACTTACTTTGAAAAAGCAGCTCATTTGATTTTACTGTATTTATAGGATTAAGAGCATTTCTTTGGCTGCAACTTATAAATTATAGATAGAGGTTATAGGATTTTTTTCTTCAACTTTTGATTTTAAATGTGATAAATAGATAATAATGGGAAAGTATTGATACATTGATTTTCTTCATGAAAGATAGTGTAACCTTTTCATCTTCAGATGCAAGATAACTGGTATCAGTTTTCAGCTGAAGAACCTAATTCTTTGATTTTGTTAACTGTTTATAGGTAATATCTACACTGTGTATATTACCTTGTCAGCTTGAAGGTTCTTGGCAGTAATTCAGTTTTTCTTGCGTATGATGGCTTTAAAATAGATACTGCCAAATTTTGAGGTTTATGTTAATTGGTAGTAGTATTCAGTAGCCTAGCGCTGTATATCCCAAACCCTGTGCAAGTTAAATAGTCCTGCACTCCATATTTACATTGTACTTTGGAATGTGTTTATGCCCTTTCAAAAACTTTCTAAAAATTTTTGATAAAAATATGTGTAACATAAAATTTACCTCTTTTAAGGGGAGTTTCATTTATTTCTGGAATTCAGGCCTTTTTAATACTTCTGTTGTTTGTTTTTAAGGCTGCACAGACTTTTGAAAAGTCTTCAGCAGACATTTGCTTAACTGGATCAAGTCACTGTGTTTCAAAGGTTTTTAAACCTTAACGTGCTCACACTTTCATTTGGACTTGTGAATGTAGCTCTGTGTGTACGGGTTCTCTAGACTGTCTTTGTGAACAGTCCCAGATTGAGCGCTTGTCTTGATTCTTCACATGTGTTGGAACTCAAGGAGTGCAGAATGTTTAGGTCCTTATTTTGTATAAAACAGAGGCAGGCACATCTTCTAAGAACAGAGCTGTTTCCCAGTAAAAGACATGGATCGAGCTCCTGATATATGCTCAGTTCTACAGAGAGCACCAGGCTGGGTGAGGGCTAGCTTCTGTCTGTTTGTTTATTTGTTTGTTTGTTTATTTATTTATTTATTTTAAAGATTTTATTTATTTATTCATGAGAATACACAGAGAGGAGAGAGAGAGGCAGAGACACAGGCAGAGGGAAAAGCAGCCTCCATGCAGGGAGCCCGACATGGGATTCGTTCCTAGGTCTCCAGGATCAGGCCCTGGGCTGTAGGCAGCGCTAAACCACTGAGCCACTGGGGCTGCCCCTAGCTTCTGTTTATTAGGCACTTTCTGTTAATAGCCAGGCACTGTTAGGCAGCTTTTACCTGTGTGTTATTTTACCTTTTTACAGACTGACTCAAAAGTCAAAAAAAAGTTCCCACTATTTGTAATATTAGGAATATTAGGGCTCTGTTCTTAATTTTAAGTAATTCCCTATGTTTTGGGTGTTTATGTGAGCTTTATAATACTTCCCATATACAAATTCATTATTCAAATTCAGGACTGAAGTAGGAGTTCTTTTCTCTGCTCAGTCATGCTGTCATCTCATAAGTATATCCTAATTATGACATAGAATTTAATAAACAAGTAATAATGGCTAGTTAATGATAGCTACCATTTATTGAATGCAAGTTACTGTAGCAGAGTATTTTTCACATTATCCTACAACAAGCCTTTTAGTCTTTGATTATTATTCCCCTCCTCTGCCCCCACTTTACCTGTGAAATTTCTACTGCTTCAAATTGGCATATGAAAAGAGTGACTCAGAAACATTAACAAACTTTAACTTGCTTGAGGTCATTGAGTTAGTATGTGTGGTGGACCAGGATTCATATTCATCTTTTGGACTCCAGACCCAATTTTCTTAGCATCTTTGCCTCTTTTCTGTGAATAAATGTGAAAGTATAGAGCAGGGAGAGGTTATATGCCGGTTCTGGGGATCAGAAAAAACTTTATGAAGGAAGTAGCATGTGCAGTAGGCTCAGAGGATGGGTAGGCTTTTGGCAGACAGTTGAAAGTGAAAGAAAATAAATTTCATCAAAGTTTTAGGTGTGAGAAAGCATAGGGACCATTTAGGGATTAATAGTTATTGTTTAGGGATTTGTGAGCTATTAAATGTATGCTAGGATCTGGGCTAAGTTCATTACTTACATTAAATTACATAATATTCTTAGAACCATTCTGTAAGAAAGGTAATTTTTCTTTTTTACAAATGAGAAAGTAAGCTCAAAAGAGCCCGGTAATTCGTAGTTTACCTAGTGTCACAGTAGTGAGTGGCAGAGCCAGAATTTGAACTACGAAGCCATGTTGTCTTCTCAGTTGCCTCCCAGTATGCTGAGTGCCTGAGTATTCAGTGGGATAGCAGGAAAGTAATAGGCAAAATGCTGTCCATGCAGTGCTTTTGGAAGATTATTCTGGTAGTGGTGGTGTACAGTATGGATTGGAGATGACAGAAGTTAGTCATTAAAGCCAGTGGAGAAATGGTTGTTGAGGTAGTCTAGGTGAGAGGTAATAATAAGAGCCTGAACAGAAACTAGTTTGAAGGCATTTGTTTGAGGTTGATCGTGGAGGGAGAATTTATCAACTATTAGTGGATTTGGGAGAATGAAATGAGAGGACAGGGATATAGAAGGAGGAATCCAAGGCGATGGGCTCTCTTCTTAATATCAAATAATTTTCTGTTTGGGTCACTTGCTTCAAAACCCTTTTTTCTTTCTGTCTATACTTGTACCACCCTTCTAGTTTTTCATTGATTTAATGTTATTGAATCTCTAAGGTGTGCCAACACTTAACCAGTGGCTGGATTATTTATAACTTCCTGTCTTGTTTCTACTGCCACAATATTTCTCTCCCTAATCCTTTGTCTATCTAGTTCATTCTCCACCCTGCTGATTCTTTGCCCCAGCTAGAATGACCTTTTTTTTTTTTTTTTAACCGTATCAAGACTGCTGAAGTCAGACTCTGATGTTGCCTTGCTTGACCTCTCTAATTTTGACCTCTCCCTTTTCCTGAATTTGGGAAGCCACCATAATAATGTAAAGAACCAGAGCACTGTGATCATAGCAACTTCAGTTTGAATCTAGGCTTTGTGTTTTACTCTGTGAACTTGAACGATTAATTAGCTTTTCTGAGATTCACATTCCTTGACTTTTAAATGCAAGCTTTGTGAGGTTTAAATGAGAGTTTGTGGTCTGCAGTTCTCAGCTGTTACTTTCTCTTCCCTTTTTAAGCAGGTTGCTTTTTGTACTTTCCTGCAGTGTGAGCCTCTGGAGGTGGAGATATTGGATCTCCTTTAGTATACTTTCTGTATTCAGACACTTGCTTAGTTGTGGAGTGACGGCTAAGATCAGTTACATTTTCACTTGTGATGAGGGAAATGAACCGATAAGAAATTTGTAGTGTTAATCAAGAGTAGATGTTAATATTTTTATGCACCATTCATGACTTGATGTTCTTTGAATGTTTGTTTTTTTAGCCACAACTGTATTTGGAATGCATATGCTGGCAGATTATCTTTGGTCTTTTCCTTCTTTCCTCTGCTCTTTAGTTTTATCACATTGTTCTGCTTTCCCCGTAAACTTTTGTGGATTCCTGGAATGATACAGTTAGAAGGGATGAGCTAAGGCTCATGAAGCTGATAGCTGTTTTGTAGTTACGCGTACTGAGCCAACAGACACCAGTGAGTAGAGTTCAGGTCTTTTAGATTTCTACCCTTGATGCTCTCTTTCCGTATACTTTGGTATTCAGGTTTCTCACGAATTCCTTAGTTACTAATAATCAGATAAAAGGGAGAAGTTTAAAAATATTTCAAAAAATGTTTAAGAGGATATAGTATGTATAGGCTTTCCTAATAAGCACTCTAGATGTAATAAAGAATTAAAAGATCTCCAGTGTGAAATATGCTCCCTATTGATTCTGTGGGGAAGATAGATACTTTTATTAGTCTTAAATCTGAGACTCAGTTTTTGATGTCTGGATTTATATACTCCTTATCAGTTCATGTGGCTATACAGGAAGCCAAGCAATGATTAAGCTATAGTTGGGAAATAGGTTGTAAAAGTAATCATTTAGACTTTTATTTTTAGGGATCAAGGTGGTCGGACATTGTGTGGTGTAATGAGGATTGGCCTGGTTGCAAAAGGCTTGCTGATTAAAGATGATATGGACTTGGAGCTGGTTTTAATGTGCAAAGACAAACCCACAGAGACCCTGTTAAATACAGTCAAAGATAATCTTCCTATTCAGATTCAGGTGAGTACAGTTTAATTGCACCTCTAGGAGAATTTGTAAAAAGGTGAAGATAGGTAGTGACCTTGATGAAATTAATAATAAGAAATTGGTAACAGTAAAGGGTAGGTGCAGACAAAGGGAATACTGCTGCTCGGGGTCAGTGACTCATCCGTCACATTTAAAGCAAACTTCTGATGATTAGTGTTCAGCATATATTTACTAGATTAAGATGCTCTTAAGGTACAGTCTTCAGGTATATTTTTGCTGAGAGGCTTCATGTTTTTCAGACTAGGTCTCTCAGTTTTATAATTCTCTAGGAAGGGTTGATATAATGCAGAAAAGATCAAAAGGACCCTAGGCAACTAGAGACTTTCATATGTTATAACTTAAAAATGAAAGCTTCCTTAATTCAGCAGTCACTCTTTCATGCTGTTAATGGAAAGTCTCTATTAATTCCTTGTTCCAAACCTTTTCCAATTGGATGCTTTTAGAAAATTTTGATGTTGGCATGCATTTTGGAGAATGCTGCGAAGGCGGAAGGCTCCTCAGGGCTGAAGATGGTGGATTGGTCTGGAGCTGTGGCCACCATAGCACCTGCTCTGCCAGTCTGCTCCAAGGGCAAGCTGCATCACTAATTGGGAAGCTGTGATCATTTTTCAGTTTCAGATGTGTTGTCTGTGGTGTAATCAGATTGTAGCTTTTTGATGACTTTATATCTGTTAGTCCTTATATTCATATCACATAAATAGATATCAGCCCTTAAAGGTCCCACAAAGTCCTTTGAATTGAATGCTCTCTTTTGTTTAGTTGGTTTCTTTTATTTGTATTTCTTCTAAAAAGGTTCTCTGCTCCCCCCGCCCCCAAGTAATATGAATTCTAAATTTGTTTTTATTAGCTTTGTTACTGGATACTTTTCTTTCATATTTACCAGTTGATCTTCAGAACCATCTTCCTGATTTTTTTTATCTACCATTCTTGACAATCAAATTTGTGTTACTTGTTGATACGTTTCCCTGTATTAATTTTTGGAGCACTATTTTTTCATTTTGCCTTAGACTTAAGTTACGGTTTTCTAAGTGACTGAACATTCATTGGTTTTTCCATTTTCAATTCTTATAAAGAAATGTTTTTGATCTTTCATAGGGTTAAATTGATTTCTTCTAAAAAATTATTTTAAGTTCTTTTGTTATGATTTGGGGAGGGAGAAGGGTGAGCAACATGGAGTACAATAATAGAGCTTTTTTTTTTTTTTTAAGAGAAGTGTTGGGAGTTGGGGGGCAGAGGGAGGGAGAGAATCTTAAGCAGTCTCTGTGCCCAGTATGGAGCCCGTCGTGGGGCACGATATGGGGCTTGATGCCACAACCCTGATACCATGACCAAAGCCGAAATCAAGAGTCGGATGGTTCACCAACTGAGCCACCGAGGCTCCCCATTAGAACTTTTAAGAAATAGTGTACTGAATAACGGGGATTTCTGGCTAAGTATATTTTTTGTTATTAGAATATTAATAAAATTCCTCATTTCCATTTTTTTATGTTGTTTTAAAATGTAATCTGTATTCCTGCTTTTATTACAGTGAACACTGTTACTCTTAAATTTAGGATAAAGTAATAATCCATGGAGGCTTTTCAAACATCTCACCCCCATTTCGGCTCCATATAGTGAGTTCTGTTTCTTATGAGAATGGTCCTATTCCTCAGCTGTGTGTCAGGGTGGAAAAGGGGTTGAGAACCAGGGATATAATAATCCAAAATTCTTACTCTGAAAATTGTCACATTTCTCTAGTATTGATATGGGAGATTGGGCCAGATTTCAATCTGCATTATTAGAGCTTTCTCTGTGCAGATCACAACTGTGTAAACTCTGTATTTTTTGTCTCTTTGGCGAGGACCTTTATTTCTGGGCACCACAGTTTTAAAATGTTCTTATTGAGCTAGCAAGTAGAAGAAAGTACAATCCATGTAAACCATTTTAAATTTGAAGAGACTGGGGCTGTTTAGGCAAGAGAAGACAAAAAAAGACACATATCTTTTAGTTTTTGAAGGGCTTCTTAGAGAACGTAAACAGGCTTGAACTCTTAAGAACAGTGGTAGACATTAGGAGAAAAGTGTATTTCACTTTATCATAGCCAATAGAGTTATCGAACCCTGAAACCAGCTGCTTTATTGTGACAGTTTCATTACTATAGGTATTTGGGTAAAGGCATCCAAGTGAAATGGGTACATAATTGTATTCCCATCTCATATTCAGTTGTATACATGTACACATATATGCCCACATACATACACTTACTGTTGCTCTTAATATTTCATGGAATTATTTTTAAGCATGATTTCTACCTTTATTCCCTGTCTCCCTGTTATTTTCTTGGTGTTTGTATGGAAAACCAATTTCTGATGTATGATCTTATTTTCTTGTAAATTAAAAATCTTTTTCCTTAGCACTTTCCCTAGCAAAACTTTCAGTAATCTAAAGTACCTTAATTAATTGTGGTTGTACCATACCTTTTCTCTACATTCTTTTTTCTAGTTTTTAGAACTTCTTTGAGCAAGGGAAAAGGGTGAACAAAAACCAGAAATCATGTTTAGTTAGCCCAAAACTTATACCATGTGATCTGCATGGATAGTTGAAAATTTAGTTTGACAAATTCTCTGTTGGATGTCTTTAATGTTATTAGTGTTAATGTAAACAGGTTTCTGTTTTTTCTCTATATTCTAGTTCTGGTTTTTCCAGTGACTGTGTGGCCTTTCCCTTCCTTAGTTTTTTTTTTTATTGAAAATTAGGATAATGAATTTTCTATTAGCTTTATTTTTCGATATAACTGTTTATGATAAAATGCTATTTTTATGAAAATGGCTTTGAGATCTTTTAATGCACACTGATAAGCAAAGACCTGGTAGTGTTTCCAGCCAGCTATTTGTGTGAGGTAATAGAAATTTCACTACCAAGAAAGACCCTGTGTAACTTATTAAACTATATGTATAATGTATAATAATATATTAAATATAACTTAATATGTGATTCTAATTGGTGATTGTTTTGTGGAAGGCCCTTAATATATGTGTGTAATTATATGCTAAAAGAAGTACTGTATGTTTCCCTGTGGTTCTCAGGTGACTTGTTCCTTAACAATAGGTTTTCTGGAGTGATCTCTAAGACTTGCTTGTCTTTTGGGAAAGGAGGTTACTTGTCTATGCTGTTTGTTTGTTTTTTAAACAGAGATCCTTTTTCATTCTTCTTCTCAATCAAGAATCCTTACTTGATTCTCTTTAACAGCTACATAATCTTATATAAAAACGATTAATCTTATGTTTTTGTAAGTCCTTAATAAGTAGGAATTCCTTTTGAGATGGTCCTCCTTTCAAAAAGGGATTTGATTTAGAGAGCATTCTCAGCAATTTATTATTTTACAGTAGTTCTGAGAATTTTAAGAGCAACACTTTACCCATTATCACATAATGACGCTGTTGGTATTTTTCAAATATTAGAAAGAAAGGTTTTAAAGATTGTCTAGTAATTGTATAAATGGTTGACATAGTTGCTTTTTGAAATGTGGAGAAAGAAGATTTGCTGGTAAGTTGGGAGGATAGAGAAATGTTATTCTTAAACTAAAGAACTAGTTAAAGACTTTACTCTTTTAGCCCAGTATTACTAATATTGAAAACTAAGGGGCAGTCATTCATTTTTTTGAGATTTGTATCTAGTTAATTGGGTCTTTTTGAAATCTTGATGACTTTCAGAAACTCACAGAAGAGAAATATCAAGTGGAACAATGTGTAGATGAAGCTTCTATTATAATTCGGAATACAAAAGAGCCCACGCTAACTTTGAAGGTGATACTTACTTCCCCTCTAATTAGGGACGAATTGGAGAAGAAGGATGGAGGTATACATGTATATATATTTGTTTTGTTTTGTTTGCTTACATAAGACTTCTCTTGAATGCTATGTTAAGTGTGCTTAACGAATTTAAGAAATAACTTTTGTTTGATGCCACTCATAGTTTTTTAAAAAGTTGTATTTCTGTGTAATTGCTATATTTTGCAAAAGTGTATACATTTGAAATATATATTAATTCAGAAACCTATTGATTATTATGTTGGTCTCAACTCTAATTTTTATACTATTGTGGTATTCTGTTTTACTTTGTCTGCTATTACATTGTTACTGGTATCAGCCAACCTATTCTATGTAGTTTGGCTATTAGGTCTGACTTGAGGATTAAATGTGTTCCAGAACAATATTGTTTTCAAATTTACTCACTACCTCAGATTACTCATTTGCATATTGCTCTTGAATTTAGTAAGTATTATAACCTTGTAAGATTTATGTCCATGTGTAAATATGTTTTATAATGTAAGAAATATAAATTGGGGGATTGTTTTCTAAAAATTAATCATTAGTAAATCTCTTTCTAGGAGGTTTGTGATCCTGTTAACATTTTGTATATGATATATGTGGGAATTATGCTTTAAACTAACTTTCTTCTGAAGTTAAAAAGCCATGTATGGCAGTGTCATCCTCATAAAAGTAGAGTAAGAAATCTGTATTCAGCTTTGAGAAGGAATGATGGAGCTGGACTTCTTTATCTGACGTTTTTATCCTGTCCAGTTAGCTTGTTTCTGCCTCTCAGTCCTATCCCTTGAAACACTTGCCATGTGGTATTTGTCCTGTGTTAGACCTTTGACCAACTGGCCCTTCTCTGTTATGACAATTCAGAGGCAGTGTGGCTTATCTGGGCCAGTGGGGACTCCCCGTTTTTTATCACTAGACATTTAGCAAGTCCCATTGCTTTTTCTGCTACCTGAAATACCAGAGCAGTAAGAAATATTGGTCAGTTTCTTAATTTATGTCAAGTTGATGATAAAGGTGCAGTAAAAGACACATAGTAATCTTAGAATTTAGAAATTTAGAGTTTTGGCAGACAAGTCTCATAGGATTTCTTAAAGCAAAAGTGATATACTCCTTTTAAAAAAAGTTTCTTGGGGTAACTAAAATCAGCTATACCATACCCAACAGGTATAAAGTAGACACATTATGAGTCAAATTTTAAAATTAAAGTGTATTGGGCAGCCTGGGTGGCTCAGCAGTTTAGCGCCGCCTTCAGCCCAGGGTGTCATCCTGGAGACCTGGGATTGAGTCCCACGTCAGGCTCCCTGCATGGAGCCTGCTTCTCCCTCTGTGTCTCTGCCCCCGCCCCCCTCTCTGTCTCTCTGTCTCTGTCTCTCTCTGTGTATCTCTATGAATAAATAAGTTTTAAAAAATCTTTAAAAATAAATAAAAAAATATAATTAAAGTGTATCCAATCTGTAATTGGGTTTATGCCATTACTTTTTTTCTATATATAGTATCCCTTATACTTCTGAAAAACCAATCCTGAGTAGCTTAATTTAACAGCTTTACAGTTCACCATTAACTCTAGAACTATAAAGTGATTTCTGAAGTGTCAAGATAATTCTGTTAATTCTGGTAAACTGTGTTCTACTTGACCCTCTTAAAGCCAACCATTTCTAAGAATAATTGTAATTATAGGTATTATTAACAATTATTTGAGTATAGAGAGATAAGAAAAAGACTGAAGTCACCGAAGACTAAATTAATTCCACATCTGCTTGTAGCTGTAGGCATCTCTTCTGTCATTTCTTTGAAAATATTAAGAGAACCTCAGGCTTCTTTTTTCCCATGGTTTTTGTACACTTATGTATTATGGCATAGTTTTCTGTGAGACCCTTAAACTTAGTCTGTTGCATCTATAACTTTAATGTCTGTTCACAGAAGCTGGAAACAAATTCTTAGTGGACTGCACCCTTACTAAAAGACTAGTTGTGGTAGAATTGAATTTGCAGTAAAGTAAGAGAGTCATAGTTTCTGTTCTAGATATTTGGGTAATTAAAGGATCCCAAGACCTTTTTATGAGCTGAATCTCATCAGCTGATGTTAACGTTATTGTGTGGGATCAGATAAGGTGAAAGAATTTGCCTGGATCTAATGTGTAAAAACACACATTACTTCCTTTTCTTTTGAATGGCAGAAAGATTTGCTTTGCACATGTCCTCCTTAACATCTCAGGCTTGTTGACTCACTGTTATCTCTTATAATTTGTGCATTTTATCTAACTTGGGCTTTTTAAAAATGCTTCTTGGGATCCCTGGGTGGCGCAGCGGTTTGGCGCCTGCCTTTGGCCCAGGGCGCGATCCTGGAGACCCGGGATCGAATCCCACGTCGGGCTCCCGGTGCATGGAGCCTGCTTCTCCCTCTGCCTGTGTCTCTGCCTCTCTCCCTCTCTCTGTGACTATCATAAATAAATAAAAATTAAAAATAAATAAATAAATAAATAAAAATGCTTCTTGATCTGCACTGCAGTTTTGCGAATTCCTGAGCAACTTTGACGATCCAGCATGACTTAGCATTTGAGACCTGGGCTGTACGATTCTGGAGGACTTAGTTCCTCTCACCGAACAACTCTTCCCACCTTGATGCAGTTCTTTTCAGCTGCATGGGGGGAAGGACATGATTTCATTTGGGTTCTAGGAATTTCTAAGACTGAGAGATACCCTCCTTTTCAAAATCTCCAGTCCTTTTCTTTCTCAATACTCAAAAAAATATGCATTGTAACTCTGTTTGAGGAGACATTTTCCTATAGATTTCAATAGCTCTCCTCCCCACCAGCTATTCACAGTACATACATACTCACATCTTTCTCTTTCCTTTCTTTGCTTGCTGCATATTTGGGTAAAATCTAAAAAAGGGACAAAAGTGTGGTTGCAAGCAGGGAGATCTGGAGGACTGGGGCAGATGAGAACATCACACTTAGCTCCTCAGGGTTGTCTCTGCAGAAGTGGGTCTAACTATTCATTCAGATTGCTGTTTACATTTTCAGTGGCCAGAGTATCTAGTCAGTCTCTTTGGTACCATTAACAGTTTCATAGGTAAGATCCCTTCTATGCTGTCAGTCTCCTTGCTGTACTCTGACTCTTTACTTGAAGGCTCACTAGAATAACCATTCACCATCACTATATGCTTCCTGCTTTGGCACAGGAGAAGGAGCATCAGGGGCCTGGCAGTCCGGTGTTCAATTCTTAACTCCAGTAGATACTCTTGATTTTTGATCTTGGACAGGGTTCTTCATTTTAAACTGTGGATAGGAAACACTGTAGAAAGTTGTTTGAGGTTGGGATGCCTGGGTGGCTCAGCTGTTGAGCATCTGCCTTTGGCTCAGGGCGTGATCCCTGTCCAGGGTTCAAGTCCCGTGTTGGGCTCCCTGTGAGGAGCCTGCTTCTCTCTCTGCCTGTGTCCCTGCCTCTCTCTGTGTGTCTCTCATGAATAAATAAATAAAATCTTAAAAAAAAAAGTTGTTTGAGGTCAAATGAGAGAATTTATATAATGTGAATTGTACGATACCTAGCACAAAGTATTTGCTCAATATAGTGGTAGTTGTACTTACTCAGCTTACTAAAAAGACTCCCAGTGCAAACTCACATACTCAGACGGCCTTCAGGTCTCAGTGAGAATAATGTGTACTTGATAGGTCTGAGGAACTGAACCTAAGCACAGGTAAACTCTTAAACATCCACTGAAGTGTAGTATTGAAACCCAAATACTGTATTTGCTGCTATGGTAATAATGAGCTGATTTGTGATACAGCTTATGATTCATCAAAGGTAGGTATGTTTTCCTCTACCCATGTCCTTTATCCCTAGTGCCTGGAATGGTACCTAAATACATTGTAGACAAAAAAAAAAAATCTGTTAAAAATTAATTTTTGTAGCCAGCATATTGTCTGGTATGTAAGAAGCATTAACAGTGGGCATCTTGATATTCAAGCAACGTATATTGAAGATTTAGCTGTGTGAGAGTATTTTATAACTTACTGTGTTAGAAGCATTTTCTCATATATGATATAACCTTCACAACAGCCCTAGGAGGTAGATAATTGCCCTGTTTGATAAATAAGGAAAGTCTGGTTTTACCCAACTCCTCCGACACGAAGTCCAGTGTGCTTTCTTCTCCCATTACTCTCTATGGTGAATGTAGGAGCCTCTGAGCTGATTTAGTTATTCTCAGCCTCACATGGTCTCAGCTTCTTTTGGTGCTTATGATTTTAAGAAGCTTATTTACTGGGAGGGTGGTAAGTTACCTATTTATTATATTTACAATGCAATTTGAAACCAGGGAGATAGAGAATCTTTAGCGACTCTGTGGCTTAGAGTAAGATGAACCTCTGTCCTCAGTATCAGGGTAGGTTTTTAGGGGATCACAGAGAAGCTGCCCAAAAGTCCCTTTTCACATGTTGGTACCAGCATGAACTTCTCATGCATCTTGGCAGTTCACTAGCAATGAGTCCTGCTAAGTGGAAGGCATTAGGTTCTCACAGTCCAGAAATCACAACTGGGATTATAACAAGACAGTAGGCTTTATTTTCCTGCCTTCCCCAGCTGCTAGACCCACACTGTTCAGTACAAATCTTTAACCATTATCTTTTCAGTGGCTGGCTGGTTGCCTACTGAAGCATTGAAGAAAAGTCATAACTAGTTATGTCTCTGTTCTACCTTATTGCTACATTTACCTGTCCACAGTATTGTGGCATGCTGTTTTGCGTGGACAATGGCTTGGTGCCTAGTATCTGCTGTTCAGAAATCTTGAAGGAATTGAGAAGGGTTTGCCACGATATCTTCAGGCTAACTAGAAAATTCTGTCAGCATGAATTCAGTAGCTCAGTGACATCCAGATTGTTGAAGAGGCCTTTATGATAACCCAGCTCAATTATTTTACCTTTGAAGAGTCCAGGTTCCTCACAAATAACTTTCATTTAACACAGTAATGTTCTGGCTTTTACCTACCCTATACCAGCCTAGTGTTTTGTTAACAGCCAGAGAGCTAGCATGCATGTAAAAGCATTGAGAGAAACTTACCAACATTTCCTGCAGTATGTTGCGTTTCTGGTCAGTGATCTAACCTCTAACCAAATAAGCAAAGTTAGGTATAGTAGACTTGTCTTCCAGTGCTTCCATTGTTGCTTTATGTGCCTTCATGCCCTGATGCCAGGTTACTGGGCAATAAATTTTTAAAAGCTGTTTTTCTTTGCTTTTGGCATTTTTGTCATTCCCCAAGCCCATTCCCTCTGCTGTTTCTCATCTGTTTTATTGGTCACTGTAGGAAAATGAAATGGCTCACAGTTCCATTGTTTCTAATTTAAAGACTCCAAATGTCTTTTTACCAGAAAGTTTTGCTTCTCCACAAAATTGAAACACCTATGTTAAAGTTCACACAGAAATGCTAAGCTTGAGGTTTTGCTACAAGAAGTGGCATTGTTTTTCCAACCAGCAATTCTGTGCTTGCCACAAAAGTTATTTTTCTTAATGAATGAAAAAATATAAAACTATTATTTTTATATAAAGCAAATAGGCAAGCAGGGCTTAGTAGCACTGTAGTGCCATATGAATTTATACTGTTTTAAAATAGGAAACTTTGAAGAGGATAAAATGAGATGAATTATTACATTTCCTCTGCTGTTTCCCACCTCATGAATATTGAAACATTCTGGGTCTTTGGACTTTTTGACTATGAGAGCATGAAGAAACATGGCCATTCTGGTGGCGATGTAAAGGGAGTCCGGTGCAAGCCTTCTGTTCACTGCCTGTGCCTGCCTTTCATCTCTTTTTAGCAGAACCTGCTGCCTCCAAATGTTGACTGTCTGTAGCAAGATGATGTCTATTACTTTTTTAAATAAGAGTTTTTGATTATAATCTGACCTTGAGGATGAAAGAATTTATGTAAATATTTTTTTTTGTTATCCCCCTTTAAAAATATCTGTGTTGTAATGAGCATAAGATGTTATTTACAAGCTGTGACCACTGGATGAAAGTACCAGAAAGGTCAAAAAGAGCTTTGGTTTGCCTTGTCTTTTCCTATGCAAACTTCCTCTGACTCAGCCCTGTCTTCCATTGTCCCCTTTCCCAACACTCCTACTAAGATGATTGAATAAAACTTAGCTTGCCTTATTTTTAACTTGAAAATTAAAGTCTTGAAAAATAAGTATGTTCGGTACTTTTTCTTGAGATTACATTACTTAGCAGTCAGTCAACCTTTGTCATGTCTAACTTTTAAGAGATTCTGATCATTCATTTATAGTAGTTTGTTTTATATGGTGCCTGAGCTTTACACAGATGTTTGTATTGACCATAGTTTGGCATTTTGATATGAAAACATTAAAATGAGTTAATGGTATGTTTTATGTTGTTAGAGACAGAATTAAGCAAATCCAAGAACTAGATCATTTGTGAAGTAAATACTCATAGGATATGGCTGTATATTCATAGTATATCTATGTTTATAAATTACATTAATAGGGTTTTTTTTTTTTTGAGGCTTCCCATTTTATGAGTAAAAAGGGACAATGGTACGAGATCCTGGGTTGTGAATTTGTTGGCAGAGGTTAATGTGAAACAATGCAAGTATCTGCTGTAGAGCTCAGCTGGTCAGAAAATAAGTGTGTAGCACTTCAGCCTTTAGAGCGTTGCAGTCTAGAGAGGGCCACAGTTTGTTCTTTCATAGATTTGTTTTCTATTGGGCCTATGCCTTTGGTTTAGTTAAATGGCATTCTGTCAATTAGAATATACAGTACAGTTGCCTTAATAGAATCTTATGATAACTGATGAATCCAAAAAGTGTCAGTAAAATGGGTCTTGTTTCCCATTTTAAAATATTTACAATGTATCACTTGGCCCACACAAACATAATACCTTCTGAGACTGTTAGGATTATACTAGGAAGAAGTGTTGGATGGACTCTCCTACATCTAAGAGTGTTTAAAAGAGAGTGGTGAATCTGACTTAATTGGGTTAGATGAAGAATGATTCCTTAGGAAACATTTGTATGTTGTATGCATTACAAATATTGTACTAAATATTGCTCAAAAGCCTCCTTTCTAGTAGTTGAGAGGAGATAAACATTTGGGAATCCAAACTTGAATTTAGTATCCTGTGACATCAGATATGGATATGATATGGATATTTATCAGATACGGATATTTATCATTGATCACATGTTTGAATTCTTACCTTTGTTGCTCTGGGCCATCTAATCCAACTTTAAAATGTTAAGGCAAGTTAGATAACTCTAATTAGATAGTATTCTTTGCTGCCTTTTTTTTTAAAAAAGAAAAGGTAGATAAAACTTAAAATGTTCCAATGTACTTCATTTTTGTAGTTTTAATAATTTTGTTCTAGAAAAGCAATAATGAGAGAAATCAAGGTAACACTTGGAGAGTTCTCATCAGTGGAACAAAGTTTCTATTAAGGGTTATCTTGTTGAATGGATTTATCTAGTTTAAAAAAAATTATGATACTTAGTGTATTCTTAGTAAATTTCAACTTGATTGTATAAGAGAGCCCCAGTTTCCCTCAGGAGCTGATCAATAGTTCCTCTGTAAAGGAAAGTCATTGTTGCTCCTGGTCCCAGATTTGTGCCGTCTGTGCCCCTGTCCCGACAAAGGCAAAAGTGCTGTGTACCTATTTTGTGCCTAAGTAATCATGCACGTAATTTAAGAAGAAAGCAACAAAACAAAGCCAATTGTGAAATCTTCTGGGAGTCTTATTAGTTCACTCAGATGCTGCTCTTCTTTTTATTTTTATTGTTTGGTTGATTTGACAGGAACCCCTTGGTCAAATTGTATCTGTCTTTCTTTATCCTATTTTCCCATTAGAAAAGGTTGCGATGAAAGATCCTCCGGACTTATTGGACAGGCAGAAATGCCTGAATGCCTTGGCGTCTCTTCGACATGCCAAATGGTTTCAGGTTGGCTCTTTGTTATTATTTTATTGTTATTGTAGCCTTGTGCAGGTTTCATTTGGAATACCTGCCATTTAATGGTTTCTGTGCACATAATGTATAAAATGGGGGTGCTTTCTACCTCATAGGGTTATTGTAGGAGTAAATGAGTTAATTTAGGTAAGATGTAGAGTATAGCTCTACATAGTTAATGATATTTAATTATCATATAATCTCCTTTGGCATAGTACTCCGAATTTTAAATGATGGCTTATAAAATAAAGACAGGGATGAGCAAAGCTGAAAGATAAATGGTTGCCCAGAATGGGATTGCCATGAGGCTATAAGCTAGTTTAATAATATGCTTCCTTTACTTTAAAAAAAATCTGCCTTTCTAAACTATAGTTTTACTGCTTTTAATAACTTAATTTTTTAGTTTGCTTGACAACTGATGAATGAGTGGCTAATTAGTATTCACTTTAAAGAATCTATCCATGATCCATGTGCTTAAAATGAAGACTGGATTTCAACAGGGATATTGGAATCATTTTGTTTGTTTTAGGCAAGGGCAAACGGATTAAAATCATGTGTAATTGTCCTCCGCATTCTACGTGATTTGTGCAACAGAGTTCCTACATGGGCACCATTAAAAGGATGGGTAAGTACTTATGGTTAAAAGTAAATTCTGTAGCTGTAGTCAGAGGAAATCTTGTAGAAATTACATGTTACTGTAAAATGGCTACATTCTGAGTTAGGTGTGCATTATCTATTCTCTAGAAAAAAAATTGTACATCTTTTTATATGCTTTTTTTTTTACACATGTAACCTGTCTCTTCTACCTCATTATATTCATATTACAGAGCCGGAGATATTTTTCTGACAAAAAGGTTCTATACCTGTTAGAAGTGACTATCTTCTTGCACTTTGTACTGGTAGTTCATCTACTGCTGGTGAAAGCCTCCCTGACTGGCACATTTCTCTTTCAGTGCTACTTCCATTTAAAATAAAAATTACCTGATATGCCTGTATATGGCTCCCCTGTCTTCTTTTTCCTTATCTTTGGGTGTACACACTTAAATAAGTTTGTTTAGTAAGTAAAGTAAGGCAAACAGTACATTTAACCACAATTATGGATATTGTTTATAATATGTATTGCAAAATTTATTTCATTTGGAAATTATTATGCTTGGCCCAATCTACCACAGTGAAGAACGTAATAAAATAAAGCTTTAATAAAAGCTCATTTTAGATTAATCTAACATGTATTACTTTTATATATAGTATATGAGTTTTTATTTTCTTAACTATGGAGACTTGGTCCTTTATTTATTCTAATTGTAGTACTTGGGGCAGACTGTCCAAAATGAAGTTGTAGGTGGTTTGAGTGCTTTCTAGGTTAAGTAGGAGACAGATGGGCTGGGTCTGAACATTGATTAGTTCTTAGCTATTACTAACTTATATGAAAGCTTGTTAAATCTTTGTTAAATCAACTTGGTGAAGTGATTCTTTCAGGGTAACTGAAAATAAAGTTTTTGTAACAAAATGTCTTCTGAATATGTTACCTCAAAAATGATTGATTTAAAACTCTGGGGTAAAAGTTGATAATCATGCAGGAAAAGTTAATTGGGCCCAAAATATTAAATTGACTTTCACCTTTTCGGCCTCCATTGTAGATAGAAATGTCAGCTCACATTTAACTGGAATCCTTTTTTAACACTTGGTGCATGTACTAATTTGTAATTTAATATCTTCTAGCCACTAGAGCTTATATGTGAAAAGTCTATAGGTACTTGTAATAGACCTTTGGGCGCTGGGGAGGCCTTGAGACGAGTAATGGAGTGTTTGGCATCTGGAATACTACTTCCTGGTAAGGGTTTCAAACTCTGGAGGCAGAAGAATCAGAAACATTTCATTTTAGTTTACTTTTCTAAATATGTGCTAAATTTATCCTCTGCACAGGAAAATGATGCGTAGGTGTTTTGCTTGGAATGTTAGCAACTAGAGTGTTTGAATGTTGGGAAAGTGCTATAAAACTCTCTTTCAATAACTGTAATTTATGTTTTATATGTACTAACATAAAAGGTACTAATAAGATACTGTGTCTGCTATGAATTTGCTTTACCAAGAGCCCTGAATTTGAAAATGTAGGTGTTTGGTTAAAATGTTTGAAGTTCATTCTGTTTGAGTCTGGTGTTTAATTTGGAAAAATTAAATTTAGTCTTATTTTACATATGTAATCCCTTTAAAGATCTGGGATGGTTCATCATATTGTTTCTAAATTCTTAGAGTAAGACCCAATTTTGTCCTTAAATATGTAAGTGACTTCCAGTATAATAAGGACATTTAAGTGTTAACATATTGAAAATGAGAGTGTCCTTTTTATTCCATTTAATTGAGCATACTTTTAACCTAGTTCTTCAGCTTTTTTATTTCTTATTCTCTACATTCTTTTCTCTCTTTTGTGTTAGTTCATGGAATTTTAAACTCAGTTCTAAGTGGCTTGTGTTTTTCTTTTGCCTTTACCAAAGGGGGTCCTGGTTTACATGATCCTTGTGAGAGAGACCCAACAGATGCTCTGAGCTATATGACCATCCAGCAAAAGGAAGATATTACCCACAGCGCACAGGTAGAAGATGGGGCATGTCAACAGTGATCTATTAGAGGGAGATCATAACTTTATTTTCTGAATCATTCTATGTAAACACTTTTTTCTTGCATGTTATTAGGGACTTTTGCCATCATAAGGATAGCATTTAATGAGTGTCTTTTTAGTTACATGTACTGAAGGCTTTATTAATGGCCATTGAAATTTATGAATAAATATAATCTTTTGTTCTTTAGCATGCACTCAGACTCTCAGCCTTTGGCCAGATTTATAAAGTGCTGGAGATGGACCCCCTTCCATCTAGTAAGCCTTTTCAGAAATATTCCTGGTCAGTTACTGATAAAGAAGGTGAGTGTTTTATTGGGGGTGGATCTGGGCAATGGTGGAAATGGTCTTGCACTGCGTCTCTTGTTAGAGCAGAGGGAACTTTATTGTTAATCCAAGTCATGTGTTGCTTTTCTTCCTGACTTTCTTATGTCCCATCAGTAACATCAGCTTAATATCATTTATTCTTAGTAGTGACAAGCTCACTTAGTTAAGTTGGTCAGATTCCAGTCTATCCATTGTACTGCACAGATTTAGGGACCCTTTGAGAACCTCTAGTTGAAGTGAAAAAGATGAGCCATAAGCTGAGAGGAGATGTTATCACAGTCACTGACCAAGTTAGTCTTTGTCCTGCTTGGAGGTGTTATATAACTAAAAAGGGAAAGATCCAGAGGAGGAGAAAAGTATACTGGAAAATTTAGGACTATTCCATTTGACCTAGTCTGTCTGAACTCACAGTTTCAATAGACAGAGCACAGGCTCTGGGGTCAGTATGACCTTGGTTGGTTCTAGTCAGAGCTCCACTACTTACTACTAGCTTTAGGGGTTCATTTCTCTCTGTATGGATATTACCCCTACTTTATTGGCTGATGTCAGATTAAAATGCTCAACTCAGTGCCTGGATTACTTAGACATGAATCACTTAACTCATTGTGCACAATACAGGTCTTCTCCCAGCCCTTGACACCCCCCCTCCCCCCCGCCCATCTCCTGTTATGCAAGAAAGTAACACTAGTTATTCTTCACCTGGGACGCAGGCCATCTCCCACAATGGATATTATTCTAATAATTTTTATATGACAAAAGTAGTGTGATGGCGCAATCTATTTATTTAAACAATAGAATTCCATTGGGTTAAAATACTTTTCAGGGAATCCACAAAACCAAAACTGTTTCATAATAATACTAAGGGTTTTTGTGTGTGTGTGTGTGTGTGTGTGTGTGTGTGTGTGTGTTTTCCATTCTTTGTCTCATGAGTGTACAGTTCTCCTGAGGCTGCATGTGACATGTGATAGCATCATTCTGGCTTTTTTCCCATTTAAGATGCATGTTTTTATTGAAGTTAAAAAAAATTCGTAACCATACAGAAAGAGTAAAGTAGACAAGAATATTATTATCTGACTATATAATGTCCTCTCATTCTTGGTGGATCACTAAAATATAACAAAGGATTGTTCTCTATGCTAATTTTACGGTTGTCCAGTTACACCATTATTTGGTATCTTCAACAGGTTGACTTCTTAACTATTTAACAGGAAACATTCATAGTTTATTTGGGGAGCATTCATATTTTATACAGGATGTACAAATTTAGGACAAGACAATAAAAAAAAAATACCACACAATTGTAGCTGCAGCACTATCCTAGCTGCATTGTGGGGTTTATGTTCGGTCTGCTGCCTGATTACACAATATTACACAATGATTTTTGTGTAATTTTATATTAAAATTGTTTTAATTTCTAGTATGTTAAATATTGGTAAATATTACCCAAAAAAACAAAGCTCTTTGAGTGTTCAGTAATTCTTTTAAGAGGCTAAAGTGGTTCTGAGATTAAAAATTTGAGAAACACTGCCTAATGCTGTAAACTTCTCAGGGATCAGGAATTCTCCAGATTCTACTATAACTTAAAAACCGAAGCTCAGTAAATATTTGTGAAATGAAAGCCACCTTCTTCCAGACGGTGCTCACAAAGCAGCAGAGTTTTTTTTTTTTTAAGATTTTATTTATTCATGACAGAGAGAGAGAGAGAGAGAGAGAGAGAGAGAGAGAGAGGCAGAGACACAGGCAGAGGGAGAAGGAGAAGCACGCTCCATGCAGGGAGCCTGACGGTGGGACTCAATCCTGGGTCTCCAGGATCATATCCCAGGCTGAAGCCAGTGCCAAATCACTGGGCCATTGGGGCTGCCCAGCAGCAGAGGTTTTGCGGGGAGAGGGCAAAGATTTTTTGAAGGGGATTCACATAGTCAAGTGACATTAGGGCACTGTCTGTGGATTGAATAAAATTTTCAAATACTTATATTCTTGTGATTAGTATGGAAAATTTTGCTTGAATAACTAAATTCATAGAAGCTCCTTTGGTTTGGTATTTTCTTTCACTAGATAGTATAGTAAATACTAGTAAATATATAGTAAAACTATATCTACTGTTACGTGGTTTAGGGTTTTTTGTTTTTTTTTTTTAACTTTAAACATCTTTCTCAAAAGTTTGGAAACTATTGTTCTGTCAATTTATAGCTTAAAATAGAACCACACGGGATCCCTGGGTGGCTCAGTGGTTTGGCGCCTGCCTTTGGCCCAGGGCACGATCCTGGAGTCCCAGGATTGAGTCCCGCATCGGGCTCCTGGCATGGAGCCTGCTTCTCCCTCTGCCTGCGTCTCTGCCTCTCTCTCTCTATGTCTATCATAAATGAATAAATAAAATCTTTAAAAAAAATAAAATAGAACCACTGTCAGTGTTTCCATTCGAGCACTATCAGTTAATGACTACATGAGCTGGACAAGTCACTTACCCATCTGTGCCTTAGCAATAGGAGGAGGGGACCATGGCCATTGCCTCTAGACCCGTATGGCCTTCTTTCTCATATCTTCATGTTTTTAGCACGTAGCTTCTTAACATTGGCATTTAAACTTTATTCTTGCAATTCTTGGCGATTTCACTCAGACAATTTTCCCCAGAATTTTGACTTCTTAATTTCCTGACTTCCCCTTCCCCTTATTTCCTACCTCAGTTACCCATTCTGTGGACATACTCTAGACCTGTCTTCAGTAACTATATTCTTTCCATCATCTTATTTTCAAGAATCCCACTTCTAACTGCCTCTTGTCATCATTCTCTCTAGTACCCCCTACTCCAGTTCTCTTGAGAGAGTGCCTCACCACTTATTCTGATACCTTTTCATAGTCCTTCATGTTTTCTCTTCTGTCCCTCCTCTGCTTATATTCCACAGTCTGTCATTATGATCACTTCCTAGTACATGCCTTCACTTCCTTGATCCTATCTTCCTGGCACAAATCTAACTCTGGGGAAATCCAACTCTGTGCCTAGGCCAGGCTGTTGAACATTGTTGGAGGAAAAATACAGTCATCTTGACTTTTCCCTTTAGATTTCAGGTATAAATATCATTAAGTAGACCATCTGTTTTGTCTGGCAATCCTTCTTCTGTAAGTTCTAGAGTTCTCTAGTTTTCCTAGATAACTGTTTTGCACCTCTTCTCATTTCATACTTCGTCTTCCAACACTTACTCTCTATCTGATGATTTTGTTTGCTCGAAGGACCTATGTATTTCCTTGACTGTGGATAGACTATCCAGGCTCATAAGACCAGTCTTTCTGTTTGTTTACTTTATCCCATCCTCCTTGCCTACAAGTAGACATTATTCCAGCAATTCTTTCTTTTCTAACCAGCATCAACTCCTCGCTTTCTACTGGATTATTTTCAACAGCATAAAAACCCGCTGTAGTGTCTCCCATTTGAAAGAAGAAACCAGGGCCTTGGCTCATTCTGGTTAAGTGTCTGCCTTGGGTTGAGGTCATGATCTTAGGCGCTGGGATCAAGCCCCTGCTGAGCAGGGAGCCCACTTCCTCTCTCTCTGCCTCCCCTCTGCTTACTTTCCCCCCCTCCCTCACACATACTTTCTCTCTCAAATAAATAAACTCTTTAAAAAAAAAAATGAAAGATGAAACCAAATTCCACTCCGATTCTGCAGTTACCTCCAACAGAGTCCCATTTTCTGCTTAAAAGTAGTACTTTTGGAAAGAGTGGTTTATTCTTTCTCCTTTTCTTTACTTTTTAAAAAACTTAATCTTTTTTTTTTTTAAATTATTTATTCATGAGAGACAGAGAGAGAGAGAGAAGCAGAGACACAGGCAGAGGGAGAAGCAGGCTCCCCACAGAGAGTCCAGTGTGGGACCCTGGGATCATACCCTGAGCCTAAGGCAGACAATCGCTGAGCCACCCAGGCGTCCCTTAAAAAACTTACTCTAATCAGGTTTTTTCCTCACCACTTTGTCAAAGTTTCTGTTGTGACCTTCGTGTTACTATACTCACTCAGCAGTTAGTTTTCAGTCCTCATTTTAGCCAACTTTTTAGCCACATTTGACGCAGACGGACATTTTTTTCTCCCAAATTTATTTTATGATATAGTATGTATACAGAAAAGAATAACACGTATCATTTAGAAAATAATGATTAAAAAATTACATGCAATCACCACCCTGGTTAAGAAGTACTGTTAGCAGGCAGCCTGGGTGGCTCAGCGGTTGAGCGTCTGCCTTCAGCCCAGGCAGTGACCCCAGGGTCCCGGGATCGAGTCCCATGTCGGCCTCTCTGCATGGAATCTACTTCTCCCTCTGCTTGTGTCTCTGCCTCTCTCTCTGTGTCTCTCATGAATAAATAAATAAGATACTTTTTTTTTTTTAAAAAGTACTGTTAGCTTCTCAGAAAGCATCTATTTATCTCTCCATATCACCTCTCTCCCCATGACCTTACTAATCATTCCTGACTTTTTGATAAACATTTCCTTGATTTTCTTTATAGCTTTCCCACCTGTGTATGATTTCCTGTTTATTGCCCAGAATTTTACAGAAAGAGAGTCAAACAATTTAATCTTTTGTTATTGGCTTCTTTTTGTTCAGAAAGATTGGGGTACATTCATGTTGCTGTGTATAGCTAATATTTGTTCATTTTGGTAGCTATGTAGTATCCATTATGAATGTACTACAACTTGTCCACCTACTTTTGCAGGGCATTTGGAGTCTTTTCATTTTTTGGCATCCACCAGCAATATTGCTGTGAGCATTTTAATATGTGCCTCCTTGGGTATATATCCAGGAGCTACTGCAGACTGGCATACGATTTAGTAAATGGTTATATATATCAGTTTACACTTTGACCAGCAGTGTATGGAAATTCCTGGTGCCCTATATCCTCCACAGCATTTGTCATTGTCACACACTTTTTCTGACATGAAATACTACTTCTCATTTGACTTCTAGGTCATTACTTTCTCTTGGTGTTTCTA